TTGCGCCCCATGGCCACATCTGGGACTAGATTGGATTGAGCAGGCGCCCGGCTGGGGGGTGCACCCCAAATAATAGGGAAGAGGTAAGGGATGGACACCACGGGACCGCTACGGTGCAAACTGGTGGCGGGCAGTTTACCGGGCTACGGCGCGGAAATTTGGCCCGGGCACCGTGCCAATTTATATTTCGTGTGCGGGCCCTCTGCCCGAATACCGGGTGCGGCGAAATTTGCCATTGGCAGAAAATCGCCCTAGATCGCTGAGCTTATTGCCCCAGAGTACCCTCGGTTCAAAATGCCCCGAAATGCTTGAACCGGCCGATGCAGAAGGTAACGCACCAACCTATATACGGGCTATGATGTACAGAATTGTTGTCGCGCATTGCGCTCGGGCTAAACATATTTACATTTTGGTAGTGGTTGCTACATGTGGTACTGGCAAAATGCTGAGACCGGGATCAGATCGCTCGCACCGGTCACTGGATTTAGTCAGCCTCAAGCTTCGAATGCCGACCGGGATATATGCTTGGAGACCCCGGTTGCTCTGGTGCGGTACAATGTAGGCAACGTCACCCAATCCTACCGCGGTAATAATGGTAGTCCTACCGGTATTGCTGACGGCGGTACCACTATAAAGCTGTTTCGGTATGTACCGAGTAGGGACCCCTCACCCCAAAATTGGACCCCGTGCGTGCGGGGGTGTCAGGAGTCCGGACAAACCGCTCGACCGGGGTTCAACGCGCGCGTCTCTGAATCATCAACAGGTGATGTGAAAATTTACCTCTTCCCCTACAAAGAATGGTGGTAAAAAAATGGCTCCTTTTGCCCTACCTTACCATCAATTTGAGCATGGAACCTTACCAAAAGCTTCATATGGAGCTACAAAACCACCATAGCTTCACTCAAGACACCATGGCCGACATACCCTGCAAGTGGTTCCAGTGTATCTTGCTATTTGAACCTCCTGCACTCTACTTTTAAAAGCCTAATTTAAGAGCCAAATTCCTACAAAATTGAGTAATTTGGTGGCAACGTACTGTAATTTGGGGGCAATATCCTACGGCCGACGCCGGTAGTACCCAAAGATCGCCGCAAATTGCTACCCGAAAAGCGGTCGTACCGTCGCGAATTTGAGGGCGCCGCCTACCGTACTTTTACGGTACCGGGGATATTCCGCCGGACCGATTTTGCACCGTAGCGGTCCCGTGACCGAATCAGGACTGCAATGCCACTGAGTGATGCCAGGAGCCCGGATTTTATAAGGATGCAAGCCTGCTGGATCTCTGATTGGTCTCACAAATCCCGGCGAAAAATTACTATTAGCTCCTTCCCAGGTGGCGGGAAGGGGGTCCCTTTTGCGTGCTCTGACGTAAGCGTTTGGGATGCAGCCAAACAAACCCCTTCATTCCGGATGAAGTGACGTTTGTAAGACATTAGCTTTCGGAGTCCTCTGCGGTATCCGATGTCAGTGAAGCTAAAGTGCTGCTTTCAGAGTCCAGACCAATGTAGAGGACACTGATCTTGAGCATAATCAATGACGTCACTAATCAACCTACCTAGCCTACACTTCAATTTTAAATGCATTATGTAGCATTTGGCACAACAGTCCAACTCAAGCTGGTTTGCGCACCTCGCTAGATTGCACACATTTCTGGTTCTCCATCTGGCGTCTGGTTTCTGAACATCTCCATTGAAGGACGTTTTGACAATTGTATTGACGCGGCATAATGCACCTCATGGCCAGCTCTGTTGTGCAACCGTCGAGCTGCAGATGATAAAGCTGAGTTGTGTGAACAGTCTTCCATGCACTTTGGATTGCGACTTCATTCTCCTCCACTTTCTTCAGACCGTCCAGACATTCATCCAGTCAGGAGGGTCTAGTCCGATGCCGGGGGCATCCGATGACGGGCCTGCTGCTGACATCACCGCAGATCAGGTGATGCAGCTGATTGGGGCGCCCCGCATGTGCCAGGTCCAACGACTAGATGGTGGCACACTCATCAGCTATTCGGAGGTTGGTGACTCTCAGGTATGCTTTTAATCGATTCTGCTTTTGGCCAGAGACTGTTGAGTAAGGAGGACGCACATTGCATACCACACAGAGCTTGCAAAGAGGGAATTGCAGATGCCAGTCGGGCCTTGATACCAACATTCTTCACCTCATGTATGGGCTCTTCTCTTTTCCTTTCACGATGGGATCTGGTTTGCTGTGGTTGTTGCTATGTCCTTTTCGAACCGGAGTCCACGTGTTGTATTGAATTGACCCTGTAATCGTTCACTTCAAATGCTCCGACGCTAAAGCACACAATAACCAGCTGTGATGAAATGAAAAGTGGCACTCAAGGCCATCTGCTTCTCACTTGTTAGTTACTCGCCCTTTGCGCAATCTCTTGCTGCTTCCCCAAGGTCGTCCCCCTGCTCGATGCTTTCATTACTAGCCTTGTGTTTCCAAAACACTTAAGATTGTTCAAAAATAATATCTCACTTGCTCTCATAACAGCAGCTGATTGCTAGTGGCCAGGCTGATTTTCAGGGCACCTCACCAAAAGTAAGTACCCAAATGTCCACAGCATTTAACCCAGAACTAACTAGGATTGGTTAGCAATAAATGTCCATCTGCTGTGATGCAGGGTACCCCTGTGGTCATGTTTACGGGTATGGGTGGAAACCGGCTGTACGGCCTTTTCCTGGAAGAAGCGCTGTGGAAACTGCACCTGCGCTTGATCTGTGTGGATCGGCCCGGGAGGGGGAAGACAACACCTGTGGCGCCAAAAGATCTTAATGTGTTGGACTTTGCCGGTAAGCTCACGCAACTAAATCTAGTTTTCGGTTAAGAGGATTAGTAACCTCTTTTTGGCTCACATTCAGTACCTGTTCAACCACATCAAAAAGCCAGAATGCGAAGTTTCAGCAAGAAGGGGGACGCTTTTAGAAAGGTCGACATTCAGGGACGTCGACACTGACATGTTTTCTAAACTGGGCAAGTATGATTTCCAAGTCCCTTTGAAGACTTTGTGCTCCCTAACCATCGGCACAGGTCAGCGGCAGCCAAGCTGCCTACTAAAACCTGCATGGAGCGACTTTCCTCCCTCTTGAGCAGGGCACTAATCTTTCTGGTTAATAACACAAGCAACGTGTGAGCCCTTTCCTTTTGACAGACTGTGTGCTTGAGCTGCTGGACCTCCTGGGCATTGACAAATTCGGTGTGATGGGTCACTCGTGCGGCTGCTTATTTGCGGCTGGGTTGGCGGTCCGCGCACCAGAGCGGGTGCGGGGCCGCATGGTGTTTCTGGCGCCGTGGAACCTCGTCAGCTGCCCGGCTGTCCCCTGGAAGATGAAGGTAAACCCGCAGCAACATTCCCGTTCGCACTGAATCAAGAATCTAGGCCGGTGTGGAAGATCGCTGTTGAACTTCAGCCTTTGGTGCGGAAGTGCGAATTTGAGATAGATTCAAATCCAGGCCTGAAACACGTACTAAATAATTGGTCTTATTGCGAAGAAAAACCGAACTATCACGTAAGCTGGTGCGAAATAGGAAAAGGTTCGAGCTTGATTATTCGCACAAAAATGTGCGAACGGGATTGCCGCTACGGTTTTCAACGCGCACTGAAGCGGCACTGTATTCATCCAAGCTTTGGACAAGTAAGCAGTCGTGTGGGCAGAAAGGGAATGGGAGAAACGTGTTGTTGATTACGTGCATGCGACCTTCTTTCCTCGAGTGTGTGACGAGTGTTTGAGTTCTACTTCGTTATGCTGGGTCTGCAGAGTTTCGTCAACTGGCAAGCTTCAGATGTGTCATCTACCGCGCCCTTCAGGTCTTCCCAAGTTCCTTGCACTTTCACGTCTCTCTTGACGCACTGAGAGCTGACTCTGATTGCAGATTTGTTCACAGGCTTTTCAAACCGCCAGGCTTTTCAAACCGCCAGGGACATCAAGGTTGCAGCGCATGCCTCGAGGAAAAGGCCGACAGGCCCATCAGGCAAAATGTGCTTGCGCGAGCCATAAAAAATAGGAAGATTACTTTGTCACGTGCGAGGCACACCTCTCCTTGAGGTCGTTACGATCGGGATTTTAATCTCTGCGAACTTGCTTCGCTCGACAGTTTCCGTGTGCGCTTGGCTCCTCGTGAGGATGGGCGACCATGATCACGCTTGACGGTCTTTGGGCCGCATACGAGACGTCTGTCGTTTATCCAGGCGTACAAGCTGCGCTTGCTTCACTAGCAGCCACATCGGACGTATCTTAAGCCGCCGAGTCTAACAATCTTAGATTCTGTCCAAGCGCCTTCCCCGTTTTACCGTGTCCAATTCTGAACGAGGCCGACCAAGTTTTTTGCCAAACGACGACTGCACTCTCACCGTCAGTTGCTCACGACTTACCCTTTGTTTTCAGATGCTGCGCCATCTTCCTGGAGAAATCGTCGCTTACGGCAGCTCGCTCCTGTCTTCCATGGTCGGCAAGTCTGCCGGGTCCGGCTTTCAGGATTCCTTCGGGCGAAAGTTCACGCGCGAAATGAGCGACGAGGAGCGGGCGTGCGTGTCTTCGCCGCGCGGAGCCGAGCTACAGAAGCAGTCGATGGCGCTTACCATGGCCGAGGGGGGTCAGAAGGTGAGCGAAACCTCATTAGATAGATATCAAATTCTGAAATTTATCGTCATCGATTTATTGAAGAGATTTTTTACAGTGTTATTCATGGATTATCCGGTCTATATTATGAAGCTTCAGAAAAAGAAGCTATTGTATCTAGATTTTAAACACTTAGATTGGGCACATCTTCGATTGATGGACTTGAAAAGGGGGTCATCTGTCGACACCCCAGTCAGGGAGAGCTTGGAGCATCAAAGCTGTCGGGCGAAATGCAATCCTTTCTGGCCTGCGGCGAGCTGTCAGCAAGGGGTTGCTCGTCCAAGAAACACATTCCAAGACGTCGCCGAAAGGGGTTCGCTGATCACAAGGAATCGCTGGCAAACTTCTCTGTTTTTTTTATTTGTTATTCCTTCTGTCATCCGCAGCCTATTGCGAAAACGCTTTTAGCGGCCTTCTCACTTAGTGGTCCGCTCGATTAGAGACTCTCATACGGCATTCTTCGGGGCCACACTTTGAGTGGAACTTGGTGTTCTCGGGCAAGACTTGTCTTCCTTCGATAACAGCTATTTCAGCTGGCTGCTCTTTCCTCGTTCTTTTGCCTCTCTCTTGCTATTGCATATACCAGGATGCTGTGATAGCAACCAGTCATCAATCCGTAGATCGACACATGTCCAATTCTTTAGAAGACGCTGTAACAGGATACGCGTGTTCTTCTTCCGTTTAAAAAACTTTGAAATCTGCTTTTTCTGGATGCAGGCCATGACCAACGACATGCTGTTCTGTTTAGAAGTGTACCGCCCGAGCGATGTACACTATGAAGACGTCAGCGTACCCGTGATTGTCTATCATGGCGACAGAGACACCGTGGTCCCATCCGCGTGTGCGACGTGGATGAGGGACGTGATGCCACGTTGCGAAGTTGTAATAAAACAGGGGGCGACCCATAGCATACTGCTCGATATGGCATTCATGACTGACGTAGTACTTCCTTATTTCTGTACAGAGTAGGCCATAGATGGTCGATCGAGCTAGCGCGTTTCGTTCGTGTATGTTTAGCCTCGAGAAAACATAGGCGTAATAGAAAAAAGCTCACGTGATCACGTGATTGCAACATTACTGCCATTGCTTAACAGTCAAAAGGTCGTTGTATCTTTCAGACATCATTCAAGAGATAGACTCAACCAATTTAGAACCAAAGGATCATGCAGGAGCTTAATAGAACGGTCGGTCTCAATATGGCGCATGCAATTATACCTAACATTTTTCTCAAAATCATACCGGCCTCTTAGTATCATGCACCATGGCGCGGCGGCGAGTCAAGCCTGAGGTCTACTTCCAACTTAGCGATATATCTACTTTTGCAGTAGACCTCACTATAGTCAAGCTGGCGGCCTACTGATACCGTCCCGGCGCATGCCACATATACAACGTCAAAGTGAACAGTCGGAGCCAATCCAAACAATCGCTCATGTGCACGCGGCGTGTCTCGCCGGCGTTTGCACGGATTCCATGTACGTGCCTCAAGTGCAGCTAACAACGCTAGCCGGCGCGCAGATATGAGGCTTGCTATATGCGCACATTGATTGATTGGCTTATATGCGTCATGCAATGATGGTTGTTCGATTGAAACCGTCGGATCGCCATGCTTGTTTCGCCTTACTGAAATTTGGTCGCAAGAGCTAAGACTACTAGGTAGTTACGATTTAGCTAGGCCAGGATCGAAGTAATTACTGGCATACATGACTGCATGGCAACTTCGACGCAACTTCGAGTATGTACACTGGTGACTGTACACAATTCAACACATCGAATATCTGTACGAAAAGCTGCAGTCAATCCTTATATCCTGTATTATGACATGAGCAACGGCAGACACGAGATTTCAAATAGTATCGACGAGTCTGTTCAAATGATTACACCCTTACATGCAAGTCGACCTAGCTCAGGGTGCTTCAATCGACCTTGCAGATGCCAGCCTGGGCGCGCGATCGCGGACTTGACATTCCCCCGGGTCGGGCCAGAGCATCGTCCAGTGACAAAGATGTTCCCGCCAAAAGACGGCGCCAAAAGTGATTCAAAACGATGGCCAAAGCTTGCGATCATCCTGATCCTCGATTTTCAGGCCAAACACATCAGCAGCACATTCCCTAAAAAGTTCGAGCGCGCAGACGCGCATCTCAGGCATCACGCTGCCTCTGCCGTCAACTGGTCATCAACAGCAGATCGCTTTGGTAAGTCCTAGCCGTGTCCCAGCTGATCGAGCGCGAGGGAGGCGTTGGCCAGCAAGAGGTGGTGCTTACGTTCCCTCGGTGACTATTCAGAGAGTCTGGACTGCCGTGACCAAATCTTCCAAGAAGCGACCCTCGAAGGTGGTTGGCGTCTTCACTGCACAGCAAATTGCTCATTTCATATATTGACGCTGTCCACTAGAAGTCAATGTGTATACATACTCAGACTGCCATCCTCGAGCTGCACATAGGAGGAATCAAAGACGGCAGCGGCATCCTGGGGCCATGACGTACAAGGGCGTCGCGCTTAGAAAGAGATCAGGAGGCGAGAGATGGGAGACTTATCTGACAATAAATTCAAGATTTGTTCCTCTAGGCACCTATTCGGACCAGGAAGAAGCTGCGAGAGCACGTGACAGGTTAGCAAGGACCTTGATTCCATCAGACTTTCACCTACGAGGTTATGGGGACATCTTGGATGAGGCCTGCATAATTTCCTTCGGGAAAAGCAAGGTTTCGGTATTCAGAAGGCTATAGAGCCACAGCAATGCAACGTTCTATCCAGAATGAGAATGAGTCGATGACTTGTTTCCCACTGCAAAGTTAGATGGAAAATCATGGCTTTTAATTTTCTATCAATGCTACAAGAATCCGAAGCAGGCTTTCTGCAGAAAGGCTACTGCACCCATAGGAAGCTGCTCTACAAGTGCTGTCCACAAAGTACACTGTATCTTTTAGCGAGCAAACCAATCACTGCGTCTTTGCAAGGCTTGCAGTAGGGGTCTGGTAGAGTACTGGATTTTGGTTTCTTTTTAGGGGTGAGGAGAACGCTGCCGTTTGAGAAAGAAACGAAAGGTTGCTGTTTGCAGGGGGGCGTACAAACTCCTGGGACCCGCTGCCCAGCTCAACTTTCCGCTGTCAGAGGAGGAGAAGGCCGCGCTGGATGGCATGTCAGAAGAGGATTTTCTGGCGTCTGTGAAGAAGAGGTCTGTGGAGAGGAGCTTTTCAAAGGGGACCTCAAAGTACAGAGGCGTCAGTTTGGAGAGCGGAAAATGGGCGGCGAACATCCGCATCAAGGGGGTAAAGAGACGCATTGGGAAGTTTCACACTGAGGAAGAGGCTGCGGCCGCTTATGATGCCGCTTTGATCGAGCGAGACGGCCCGGGGGCTCTGACAAACGCTGCTTTCCCCTCCGGCTTCTCCAAGGAGGCTCTGAAGGAGAACCTGAGGCTTCAAGCTCAGCGAAGACGGGAACTAGACTTGGAAGATGAGCAGAAGGATGCGGAAGACGATGAGCAAGATGAAGACGAACTTGGACGAGCAGGTAAAGTCTTTTACGCACTCTGAAGAAGAAGACTTGGCACCAAGCTCCTTGGAGGAGGTTCGCAGAAGAATGGTCTCTTTGAAGCTCAGTACACAGGACAAATATAGGGATTGCATGTTTCGCGAACACTACTAGCAGAGTCTAATTCTTTTAATGCGCGCCTGGAAGGTTCTTGATTGTCTGGACTCTGATTCGATGATCTTGGAGATTCTTCTGTCAGTCGGTCTTGTCGCTGATGCAGATGTCGGGAAGCACAAGAGCAGGAAAGAGAGACTTCGCAAAAGGCAAGCCGTCAGGGAAGGTGGCCTGGATGGCACCGAAGGTACGGAGCAGGCGCAAACTGGAGCAGCAGGTATGCTCGCCTACAAATTGCATGCTCAGCAGCATTCTGGGAGCAAACAATGCATCGACTTGCATGAACCTTACATCGCAGCTGTCTCACGAAGCGTTTGTTTGCTTCGATTTTGCAGATGGCGAGACGACTGAAGAAGCTGCCCATGGTGAGGACTGCAAGGAGGCAGACAGCGGGACCTCGGACACAGAGTCAGGTGATTGATTCGAGATTTGAGATTATTTGAGAGCATTACGAATGATCTTTTCTTATTTTGCACTTAGAGAATGCTTCTTGATCACCATAACTTCTCTCTTCGCTTTACAAAAACGGCTGTCCCATGACAGACATTAACGATTCACGACCTTACATCTTGAGCATTGGTTGGGTGGAATATTTCTTCTTCGAATCATCTTTGATCTAGATCTGGAAGCATTGAAACTTTTTGTACGGATCTGTGCACAACATGCCTCTCAAGCTTCTGACTTGATGTAACGCATCTATTGCAGAGGCCAGCGACGACGAGTTGGACCTTTCAGAGGACGACGAGGAACCCACTCCAGAAGAACTTGCAATGGATGAGCAAGTCTGGCGGCCGACTATTTACAGGTAAGACAGCTACTGGAAGCAGGTTTGTCTTCTCGCCATAGAGGAGGGATTGCCGTAAGGCTACTTCCGAGCAGCAGAGTACGCGTTCCGTCCAGTTACCAGAGCAGATACACAGACGTTGAGCAATTAACTCGATACTCCCTGTTTCGCACATGGAAAACAAACTCATTTCTCTTGGCGCTCTTTGCTCTCGCACTGTGTTTTGTCCTTTTACGGTTGAAGACGACTAGTACTCTGCAGAGATCATCCAATTGGTTTGTTCCATCAATTGCAGCGAGCATTTTCTGAGACTGGGCGCTGCCGCTGAGGCCAGGGGCCTGCGCGTACCAGCGGAACTGAGCAGGCAGATCAAGTGAGCAGATGGAGGTCCATTCAATTGAGACCTGCGCTGAAGAAAGGAATCATAATGCTGGAGTTGACACGCACGAAGCTATCACCACAAGCTGCCCTCAACAGGCTGAGGAACAGGCCGGTGCCGACCGCGCAATACATGCTTGCTGGAGAATTCTGTATACTGTTTAGAATCGGTTATTTGGACCCTACCATACCTACACTGCAAATCTCCCTATTTCTGTTGCTGCAGCCTCTGAATTTAGGAGCTCTTAGCCGCCACAATATATACCGAGGTATTGCGTACGCTGCTAAGGCCTTGTTTTATCTCGTGCAGGGAATGGAAGGATATAATGTCAGCCGAGAAGGCAGAAAGTGGTTCTGAGGCACAGAGTACACAGGGCGGAGGTAAGAAGATTCTGATGGCACAAGGCTCGACTTAAAAGCGGAAAGGAGCTTCTCTGTGGTGTTGTTCGGGGTCACATTCTCATGTACAGCTATAAGCTGCCTACGAATAACCATTTCTTGCACGCATCAAGGATGTATCCTTGTCAACTTTCAGCACTCTCTCCGAAAAGAACAGAGTCACTCCTTTGGACTCAGAACTCAGTTCCTTCGAAAGAGCAAGTGGAAGAGACTCTCCTCTTTTCTTCGATTGACTCTATATCTTCATTCCAACGTCGGATTCACTTCTCCTTTTAGACTCTACGAGAAACGAGCCCTGAGCGCAAACAGCACAGCAAGAAATAGATTCTTTTGCTTTTTAAGGCAAGCGGCTATTCGCTGCCAATTCTCCTCACATCTTTAGAATTTCTATCTGTATCTTTTGCAGAGTTTACTGGGCTTGGCCCTTTCGGCAACTGGCCGTTCGACGAGGAGCTCCTGAGCCACGCCGTCTTCATTCAAGACCTGGACACCGACGTCATCAGAGTTGACGTCAGCCGGGCGGCCTTCGAGGCGGCCGAAGCGCGGGGCATCTGCAGAAAGAGTGACGTCATCGGAGGATTATACAATCTGAATCAGGCGGAGCGTCATCAAGAGGACGGGGAGGAGTCAGAGTGGCCATTCCAGGTAACCTTAACTACCAGAGATGCTAGAAGCAGTTCTTCCCAGACGTAGCTGTCAACTATGTCAGGTTCAATAGCTTTGAGATCTGTCCCATACCAGCAGCAAACCTTTTGCTGAGCGCCCCGTACAACATCTGATAACCTGTGCCACCTATTCTAATGTTCTCTTTATGCAAGCAAGAACAGCGTGTAAAACTTTCAGAGACCAATTTATGAGAGAAAGTGTTTTTTGATTTCCGACGTACTCTTCATTTTGCTGGATAAGTTGTTCCCTGCACTTCATCGATCCCAATGCTAACGTCCGACGCCCGTCCGACCCTAACGTCGACCGCATCTGGACTGACGTCATCGAGAAGGCGCCTGAGGGCTTCTCTGACGAAAAGAACGCACTGCGAGCGGAGTTTGCGCAGCTGAGAGAAGGGGCTTTGGAAGGCATCACTTCAATCACGGAAAAGCTGGAATACAGAAGAAATACTGCGAGGTACGTGACAATCAGCAAGTGCGAGACGAATGGTAAAAGACTGCACAATCTTCTGTGAAACATCTCAGAATATTACTGGCCGCTGGATCTTATCAGCATCTGAGCGCTTTTCGAGGTTAGAGCTGGTAAATGAGACAATTCACGACCATATGTTCTCCTCAGTGTCCCGTTATGTCTAAAATGGCGTATTAGATCAGCTCACTTTGTGACTTGGAAGAAAAACCGGCTTTGAGTCGCGTCAGATTGTCTACCATCTGAGTCTCGAAATCTGCAGTGAAGTGGGCGACAATCCGATGGCAGCGTTCCTCGAAGGAATGTACGACGAGTTCACCGACCAGGATCCAAATTCCGGCGCCGGCCAAGCCACCCTCGAGTTCCTGGATGACGTCATGGCAACCGGTTGGGACTGCTACCTGAACCCGCGCCCGGGGCGAGACCCGCGGATCATGGACTTTGAGCCAGGGTTTAAGCGGACCGACGCGGAGCACGCGGCCGCGATGCGCGCGCTGAAGCCGCCCGCGCCGCTGATGGCGCGTCTGGTGGAGAAGGAGGAGAGGAGGACGAAGAAACGGGAGCGGCGCGGCAGAGTGAGGAATTATAACATTTGGGTTTCTGCTATTTGCCGAAGAGAGATTTAGGAGCTTTACCAGATGGACTTATCAGAAGAGACACGGTTTTCTTTCAGAAGTGGGTGAGCCTCGAAGCTGGGTTAGGGAGATCTTTGGCACAGACAGATACCAGGACTCCTCGTCCACTGTAAGATTGGAAGAGGGTCACATCGTCGAACTTTGATTTTTGAATGATGGAGAGGTCTGGAAATTGTCCATTGGGTAGACCCTTCTGACTCACTGTGCAGCTTCTGAAAGGAATGTGCCTGGCCGAATAAATTTCCGATTCGCTTCCTCCTCTTGTCGTTCCCAGAGTGAAGCGGTTGATGAGTTCTCCGCGGATCCACAGGAGGCTCCCGCGTTTCCCTGGGGCAACGCTGCGGAAGAGCAGCGACCGGAAGACGTCTCGGAAGAGGAGTGGAGCGAGGAGGACGAGCGCGAGGCGAAACGTCGGAAGAGAGAGTGGGCACAGGGCTACTACACAAAAGGTGAGGCAAATCAGCGCGGCTGCCGCAATTTATTGCTGACGTCATCTTCAACCAACCCCCGGGCAACTGCCGCAGACAAAAGCAGTTGTAAGATGGTATACGGCCGCTGGCAAGCGGCAGCGTTCTCCGATGATTCCTATCAGAGTAAATGTGAGAAGCGCCAATGCTTCGACGAGAGTACCCCGTCCGCGTTCTGGGAGCAGTGAACAACTCTTTATGTCACGTACCAATCTTTTCCGAGTGCTTAGATGTGCTCGAATCGCATGAAAGCACTGCCTGACCTGTCAGTTGTTCTGGCTGAGAAGCACCGAGATGCCCAGTCAAAGTACTCGATGCACATCAAATATCGAGAGAATGAGGGTTTTAACTTTCAAAGATCAGGGCATCCAGATATTCACACGTGTCGTTCGTGCAGAGGACCGCAAGAAGGGGTGGACGCGTGCAGCCGTCGATCTCGCCGAGAAAGGTGAGAGGCATTATTCGCGTTCTGCGGGGGCGCGCAGTGAATTTTTGTCGAGTCCTTGCAGAAAGTCGTGGCTAGTTCGTGACGCTGAACGTTACGAAATCAACTAGCACTCTTCAGGCGCGTTTCGACGACACTTCAGCTCCTTCGGTGGTCCGAAGCGTACCTGTGGCAGCAGGGCTGAGTTTTTGTAGGACACGTTGATGAGGCGTAACGATACTGATGTAGATTCTCCAGGTAATAACAGATTCGATCGTCGAAAGTGTCCTAGGATCCGTGCAGCAAGCTCACTGCGAAGCTATCAAGCTCGACGGTAAGATGTATGTGTTGGGCGGTACAAAAGCGCAAAGTCCTCTTGTCCTTGAGCTACTATTATAAGACAGATTCTTTACACAATCTCTATGTACAGTGTACGGAACGAAAGACTTTGGGCTGGTTCGTCGCCAGCTGTGTGCGCTACTGGAAGGCCGCCCGCGCGAAGAGAAGGCGCCTGACTCAACCAAGCCGCCCCCAGAGAAGGCTGATCCTGACGACCCAGCCTTGCGCAGAGAGCCGTGAATAGGTCATGCAGGAGAACACTGAGTGCTTCTAGACTGGTCCTGTCAATCGAGTAGACGGTGGAAGATGACGTTCATGGCCGATAACTGTAGCACATCTCAGAACCTCAATCAAGCAGGCTGACTGATCAATGACTTGGGTTCGAGTCCGTGTTGCAGCTCAAGGCAGAAGACAGAAGACAAAGAACACAGTATACTAACGCGTCCGGATGGGTTGGCCGGAAGGTCCTACGCAAGTTACCGACGGATTAACGTGATCCGAAAGAGCTTCCATGAAGAACTTTCATGCACGTGCATGCATCCCATTGCGCCATGTAGTGGCTGAGTCAGCTATAGTGCAGAACGCGACCACGTGCGTTAGTGCCAGAGTTAGCACAATCGAGATAATGAGATAGATGCACCGACCGCACGTCGGCATCGAGCTCAAATTAAATCATGATCGTGGTCATACGGATCAGCCGGGAGCTCACGGAGTCGATAGAAGTTACCTGATGTCGGGCTTTCAAGTTTGATAAGATTCAGATTTTTGCTTTCTTAAGATGTGTGAGCTTCATTAAATCACATATTTTTGGCGGCCCTTCCTCTCAATCTCTTGGCAAATGTATCTATATTATCAATGTCAAGATAAAACTCAATGTCAAATCTATCTCGCATATACATACTATATTATCTGTAAGTATAGGTCTTGTGTAAAAATGTACGGTCTTCCCAGAATGTACAAAAGTAGAATGCATCCTACACACGGGATAATACTCCCGATGTTTTCGAACCAAGACTCCAATCTCCCTGATTATCCAAACACAATGCCAAGCCCTTTTTACACACTTCGTCACTGCGCACTAATGCACTCACATAAACACTCATTTACGCTAATTGCACAACATGACGATGCCTTCGACCGGCCACGCCTGACCGGGTCATTTTGGCCTCATTCGCTTCCGGGGGCTTTGACCGGCCAGAACTTGCCAAAGTGGGTGACGAAGCCCTCGAAGATTGTGCCGCCCACAAAGACGGTCAGGAAGTACCACCACTCGTAGAAAAGCAGGTCGCGGGGGCCCGACTGGGCAGCGTCCCAGGCACCGTAGTAGAGGGCCAGAGCGCCGGCACCCAGGATCGGAATCTGCGCATACGAAGCTAGTGGTCAGGAAAAGGAGCGGAACGGAACGGAACGGAACGGAACCAAGTCGGACGGAACGGGATGTAGGCGGGCAGCGTCCAGAGCGCCGGCGCCCAGGATCGGCATCTGCACGTTCGAAGCTTGCGGTCAGGAACGGAACGGACTTGGACGGAACGGAATCAGTGTGGGCAGCATTTCAGGCTCCGTAGTAGAGGGCCAGAGCGCCGGCGCGCAGGATCCGAATCTGCGCACACGAAGCTAGTGGTCCAAGGAGCGGACAGGAATTGAGCGGAACGAAATCGATCTGGGCGCCGAGGATTGAGTTCTGCGCATGCGGAGCCATCTTAGAAGTCCATGTCGGAACGGCATTGAGCGAACGGGAATTGCAGACGGCGCCCGCAATCGGGATCTGCGCATGTGAAGCCGGTGTCGCGGTTAGCGCGCGGAATAGCTTTGAACGAAACGGTATAAGCGGGGGGCGCCCGACGTGAGAGTCCGCACAAGTGTAGCCAGTATCACGGTCAACGAACGGAACGATTGTGAGCGGCGCCCAGATTTGGAATCTGCGTAGGCGAAGCCTGTGGCATGATCAGGGAGCGGAATGAACGGAATTGCTAGAGAGGTAAGGGAAAGCGTTGCCAAAATAGAGAGAGCTGCAAGGAAAGGGTCCCGAGAAGCGTCTAACGGAGCCACTTTCTTGACGGGGCTTTCAGCTGGCACGCTGGGGAGAAGCAGCTACTGACAGAAATGCCATGGAGAATTGTGAATGAGAATCTCAACGTCAAAGCCAAGGGAATGAAGCAATGAAAGCGTGCAAGCGCGGGAAAAAGGAGGGAGGAAAAACGATCTGTATCCACCTGCTTTCATAGGTGTCCAGAGTGGTTGGTCACGACATGAAACGCAAAGGGAGGAACAGACAACCCTCAGGAAAGGGGCGCGGGAGGGGCCGGGGGTAGGAAATCCAAGGCACAAGAGTGTAAGAAAAGTGCTATCAAATTGCTTGCTGGATTGTCCAAAGTAGGAGGAATCGGTCACGATGTGGAGTCCACGGGGAAAGTACGTCAAAGAACTCTTGAGGCAGGGAAGAGTGAAGGGAAAAAAAGCGGTGGAACGTCCTGAGATAATGGTACGAACCTGCTTCCAGAGGTGCACGAAGTGGATCTGATTGGTCACAATGTGGAAGATGTGCTCGAAGGCCGTCTGCGCCGTGCAAAACGCGAGCAGCAGCACGATCGGTTGGCGAGTGGGGTCGTTCCAGAACATGACGGTCGGGATGAGGAAGTTGAGGGTTGCGAACAGGTGGCCGAAGCTCTTGTGGAACGTGATGTTGTTGAGCGTGACGTCATACTGGGGGTACGTGGCGGAATTGTTGGCGCCGGGGGCGGTCGGGAGGCCGAAATGGTGCTGCCACGGGTCGCCTGGAAGCGGGGTATCACGGTCTCAGGATTTTAGGATTTTAGGATTTCCTTATCTTTGGAGATTCGGATTTCTTGGGGCAGCAGATTTTGAGCCTTTGGTTTTCAAGGTTGCCTGACAGATGAAGGCTTGGGGAGTTTAGTGTTTTGAGGGTTGAAAGTTTCACCGAATTAGAACAGGTATATTAGGGGGGGGTAAAAGTTCGGAGTTTTGGGGGCCAGCCCCAAATGATTCTGTCAGATAGCGCCTACAATAGACAAGTAGACCCTTACCCTTAGCAAGGGGCCGTTCCGCAAGGCTCTAGCCAAGGTGTTGAGCGCTGCTCCGACAAGGGTCCCTGATGCTCCCCCCATATTTCCTTACATGCAGCCTGGATTTTGAGTAAGGGCTCACAGGATACCAGACCTTGCATTGCACCAGCACACAATTTCCCTTTACTGGCTCTGCCCTTGCAAGCCTGCCTCTGCCGCTATCTATGATCAGTGCCTTCTGAGTGCTTCTCGTAGTCCTAATGCAACTGTTCTTATTGTAGTGCTAGATGGAACAAAGTTGTAAATGTAGTTCAGGTGCCGCAAAGAATCCCCTTTGCAGGAACCCCGTCTCAGCTACTCACCTCTCTTGCCCCAGCCAGGCTTGCCAGAGAATTCAAAGAGTGTCTTTGGAAAGGACACTCCAAATCGCGTAGCATCCTCAATCACAGCCTCAGAAGGGAGGTCTCCACTTATGGCTTCGTTTGGTGAGGTGGCAGTCATACGCACTTTGGAGCGGCCTTGAGGGACCTAAGCACAAGGATAAATGTAAGGTTAAGTTTAATGATGTTACCAGCTTGAGGTGGGTGGGATAACTTGGGGGTGTATTGTAGGTACAAATGCGGAGCGGGTAATTTTAAGGATTAGGGTTTTGGTATAAATTGGGGAACTCGGTTCTACTAAAGCATCCTCTTCCGACAAGGACCATTCATTGTACAAGGAGCTCTCAAGATTGGCGCTCCAAGAATGCCAATGAGAAGTCATATCGAGAAAAAATACTTTTGTCTAACTTGGAAGACAAAATCCTGAAAGCGCCAGATTCCTATTGTTGCTTGACTCTCTGTCCTCATTCCTCAACCAGGAAATCAGTCAACATTGATATCCGCACCCAAAAGCAAAGCTTTTTCGTCTGAAGAGATAGCCACCAAGACAGTAATCTTCGCAATGACCCTTGCATTGTACAGATTTGGCTTGCAACAGCTTTGCTTGCAGAGCACCAATTGGCACATGTCTTGCCTTCAAACCAAACCCTGAAGGACTCATTCTTCATGTGTGTTGGAAAGTTTGTCTGGGAGCCGTTGTAACAACAACTGTGTTTCATTCATAGGCTTTCCAGAATATGTCTCACTTTAGTGGCTTCTTCTGCAAGGACAAGCTCTATGTTCTGACCCTCTAAACCCAGGAATTCATGCACAGGTTTCCAGAAGCCTCCCATTGCCCCCAGAAAGCTGAAAAGCAGTGAGCTTTCCTCAAAAGCATGGAAGCCTCACCAGTGGAAGCCTCATCCCCAGCACAACACTGCGTTGGGTAAGCTGAGGTCTAAACAACCTGCAATAGAAACATAATGTCAAGCAATAAATCTTCCAAGGGGTTCCCGCAAGCCCAATCATCAAGCTGCTGGGAAGCACAATCGGAATTTAGCAAGCGACAGATGCTTCAGCATAATAGTGCCTTGAAATGTGAGGGTTGGGGACTTTTCTTTTAGAACTAGTCCAATAGGAGACTCCTATGCATTTTAGAAAATCAAAGATGTGCCTGCACTCAGGCTGACAGAAACCCTGCGGGTAAAAGATGAATACTGTTTCCTCAGGAGAAGGAGGATTTTGTGGCTCCCTTTAGCCCCACAAAAGCAGGGAGTTCTTCTTGGCACTTCCCCTGACCTTCTGATTCCAATTGACTCTTACCTTGATTTGTTTTTGAAAATTGAAGACCAAAATGATGATAGGAAAGGAAGAATGAAAAAAAGGCTGAGGGTAATCTTTGAGGCAGCTGTTCCGCCGGTCTTAAGTAATACTTACGAAAAGTGGGTCATTCTTATAGAACGAAACAAGCAGCTCTTAGAGAATCTCCTAACCTTCAGAAATATCCATGGGGCCGGTCATCGTAAGCATACTCACCTTTCCTGGCTCGACGAGGTGGACGCTTTGCATTGCATTCCATATCTGATCGGCGCAACTTGAAGGGCGCCTCCAAAAGCCCTGCAGCTGGCCAAAGAAGAGGCCATCTTCTTAAGATGCCGTGGGCTCTTACTCAGCTACGAAAGAGCCCTGTCGAAGAGAAGGAGAAAGCTCTTCCAAAAAGTGGAGGAGCGGTTGAACGATGGCGGCAAGTTGGACCTGCTGGAAAGGCCGGCTTTCGATGGGACAATTTAGCAGGGAAAGTCTTTCTCTTATCGGCCTTGATCATTGATGGGATGAGGAGTGACAGGACCTCCATAAATGACAGTTGACTCGAGCAGACATTGGGATTGGGAGGACTCCAAACTTTCTAGAACGTCAGCAAAGCGAATCTGCACTGAAGGCTGAAGCTCTTCAGCCTGCCTGCCGCCCGCCTGCCGCCAGTGCCGCGTCCATGGACCATCATAGGTATCATGCTTCTGACTTCATCATGCATGGAGCTCTCTTTGACTGTGCACCGTACGGCAGGACGACTGCACCAGAGAATATTTAATACTCGCGTTGCCGAGTCAACTCCGCTGGACGACAAAATCGCTAGAGTTACTGTCGTAGGTTCTGCCCGGGGGACAAGGGGGTTTTGGCTTTGGTTACTGAGCTCAAGCACAGAGAAAAACACTGGTCTAGACTCCCAACCCTCTCGGTTAGACCTTGTTCCGTCGACACATTCCCAGGGCCTTCGAAGCGGGCCCGGCTCCGACCGACACGGAGGCCGACTTTAACGGAATCGTCGAACGTGTCCCGGCCATCATCAACTGCCACCTGTGTCCAGTGCGGCGAACCGTCGTACAAGGTAGTCGTTGAATAGGTTTTAACTCGATATCGTGGTATTAACCTTGACTCATGATAACCAGTTCTAGTAGTTGACCCTAAATGGGCCCCGGCCCCCGGGCCTCGGCGGCCCGACGTTTAATTAACGGGCAATTAAATGATATTGCCGTTACCTTTTGATAGCGCAAACCGGGTCCAAACAAGTGTCCCGACTCTCTGGTGGAAAGGCAAGGAGAAGTTTAACCTACCGTACCCTTATACCTGTGGGAAACTTTGACCCCCCGGCTCGAATCATTACGATTGAAAACTCGCACTAACCTTTCGTTCTGAAGCAATGGTTGCACCTTGCGACCCGCACACGGACTCCATTGCTAGCTGCACAGCCAGGTTTGACCCGGGTTTAGGTCCAGGTACGTTTGTCGGTGTCGAAGTACGATCGACGATAGGATTCAATCGAAGCCAGACGCAAAACCCTTGCGAGGCCGTAAGCCACGTGTGGCGGCCGGCATGCCCAAGGGCGGCGCCGCGCGCCGGCCCGGGCTGCACAGTGCAGACTCATGCACGTACCCCGGCCGCCTTTATAGACGGTTTCTCGCGCCTTCAAGCGTTGAATGCAAGATTGCTGGCCAGACAGACAGTGCAGTGTCCGACCCAATAGGCCCCTTCAATGTCATGACTCTTGCTCGCCGGGGTGTTCATCACTTACTGCATTGGGACTTCAAGCCTGCAACCATGTTGCATAAGCTGGCGCGCACGATCGGCATGGGCATGAGCTACGAATGCCACACCGGCCCCTAATTGTCGTACGCACATTGATGTGTTGCCAGATCCGTGCCTGACAGACTTCACTTATGGGCGCACGGAGCTTCAACAGGCTAATGATCCGCATGCATTACCGAAAGACTTCAGCATGCCCGTTCATAGGCTTCGAGAAGCGCTTGCATAATTCCAAGCGCAGCAATAATTGGTCGGTTCCGGTGAGTGTTTCGGACGCAAATCCTCAGCTCAAATGGGGTGCACTGCAGGGGCGGTGGTTATGACTTTTTGAGGGCAGCACAATTTGTTAGGACTGTGCTCCGCCTACCGCTTCTTTATCGAGGCTCTCTGAGAGCTAACGAACTGTTCCGCAGTGAAAAGTCACGGGATCTTCCAAAACCCCACTGCGCACTTGCGTGAGAATTATTTACATCATGAAGAAGGCCCAGCTCTCCCTGGAGTCTTAAGTACGCTGATTCCGGCACATCCCACCGTTTCAGTACGCTTTCTTGCTCGACCGTCAGTCAACTCGTCCTAATCTGGTCAACGCGGCTTCGCTGTTACAACCCAATCGCATCCAGCAGTTTCCAATGCTCCCAGACTGGCGCCAATGTGTTGGCGACCATAACCCCGCTCCCAGCGACTGCTGGTACTCCTATTCCTGGGAACGTTTGGTCGCCACAACAGTATAGCCCGGGGATCGGTGTGCCAGGCCCGGGGAAGGAACCTTGCCCGGCGCGAATGGCCGGTCCGTACGAACCCCGGTGACGTCGTAGGTACCGCTCGTGTGTCAACGGAGTCCCGATCAGCGAGACCTCCACCTGTAATCGGAGGATGCGGTACTTTGAGTGAGAGCCATTTTGCTCCGTGTCAGCCTGACGTCACGAGTGTCGTTTTTCGTACTCTCAGGGGCGAGCTGCACTTGTTGGCCTTTGCAAACAGATATTCTAGCAGACATTTACTTTTCCAGTGATCTGCGGCCAGGAAGCTTGCTGCGAGTATGCTCGCAAAGTGCGTTGCGGCTCCACTCTCAAGTGGACGGACAAATCAAACTTCGAAACGCAGAACCCCGGGCTTTCAATTTTGCCTCAGGTGCGGCGACAACATTCAGGCTCAAGAGAACGGTCTGGGCCGTTCCGTTTGTTCCAATCTGTCCCTTCTAAGCCAGAGCCCCCTCAGAATTCTGCTCGAAAGAAGTGTGTTACAACGTAAAGCACTGCAATCTTTTAACCTAGCTCAGACCCCTCCCGGATTTGGCACTCCTCACCTTGCTTCGGTCAAACCCAGGTCCGAGCGCCTTTTCGACGGCCTTCCAGAGCACCTCTGATCGCTCCTCTTTCAGCTTCCGGTACTCGGGGCTCTTCCGGTCGAGCCCTTCCCAGATCTCGTACGGTTCCGTTCCTGCAAAGATGTTCACGTGAATTTTAGATTGCTGCGTGCACTATCTGAGGAAGTCATTTTGTAGTGTGGTTTTCCGCTCTGACTGCCGACCTGTACCCGCGAACGGAGTGGTTCTTAAAGAAGGTTTCTCCGACTGCCCAGCAAGCTATGAAGTGCTGCGTCACTGCCGCGAGAAACAAGTCTACAGAGGCTGACGTCAGATATCGTCCTCCTGGTAGCGATCAAGCTCCGGACAAGGATGCTGGGGGCGGAACCTGAGCTTCTCAATTTTCTCCAAGCGTTTTCGTGGGCCTGCCCAAACAGGACGGCAAAGCTCAACTCTGACGAGCTTCCTGTCAAAGCAGCCAGGATGAGCCCTAGGAATCTGATTCACTTGGACATTGCTTCAATCAAACGGAATCCCGGAACGAACGAGCGCGTGGCTGATGAGGACGCGCGTCATACGGAACCGATAACGTTGCGTGGTTTTTTTTACCAGTAAGAGCGCGACCTTTTTCTTCGTCAGGGAACGCATACAGACCGATGAGGCATTTTGAATATGCTCCTTGGCCGCAGTGAGTGCGAGGTGGCAAAAGTGGAAAGCCTAGCTCCCACAAGCGACGCCGGACCCACCTGGAGTATACGCGTGCAGAACGTGCTTGCCCGGCGGCGCAAGCGACGGGTCCAACACGCTGGGCACCGAGATGAGGACAATGTTCTGCGGGCCGTCGACGCCCCCCTCCCACGTGTTCACCACAATGTGGTGAATGCCCAGGTCTTCAGGCAGGTCCTGCGGCGAATGATCAGGGCTTCAGTTGGATGTCCGGGCTTTCAAGAAAACCAGTTTCTGCCGATCGGCGGAGGTTGCCTGAATCTCGGGAGTCTTGAGAGAATTAGCAGATCGCGGGGCTTGGCATTCAAGGTTGTCAGGTAGGTCTGCGAGAGGGTATCATGGCTTGAGGGGGTTGTCCATGTTATTGAACATCTGAGAACATCGAGGGTTTGGGGAAAGGAGCGTTCAATCGCAGGTCTTCGAGAATCAACCAATCGTAGGGCTTGATTCCTGAGGACTGCAGGCAGATCTTGCGAGACGGTATCATGGCTTGAGGGGGACGTCCAGGTTCTCGAGCCGTGAAAATGTCGGCGGGGGTTGCAGAATATTCGGGCATCAGAAAAGATCAGGAGATGTCAGGGCCCGGATGTCGAAGGTTTTGCATTGGCAAGCCGGACCCCACTATTTGAACTCAACGAGTTACCATCAAGACGGCTGACACAGAATGTCAGACAAAGACGGACACCAGATGGCAATGTTTGGAAAGTGTAAACATTTGGGGTTGGCTGTATGCTGTGTGCGTTTTCGTTATGCGCATCTGCTTGTAGAAGCAAGCATTCGCCAACAACCAGCCATGGTAAATCCTTGTTCGGATTTGCTCAGTCATCTGGATTGCAAACCGAAAAGACTCTTTCAACGGCGAGATTAAGGGCTTTCATCTCAAAGCATTCTGATCACTAACCTCGTGTAACCCGCGTAGCCCCTCACCTTTTTGTCAATTCCCAGATGCAAATGCATGAAGCTCCCGCACTCCGGCGTTCCGGCACGCTCCCGCCTCCATTCCGCCGGAACTGAGCCCTCGGGGAGGAGCTTCAACGTGTCCCATGAGCTAGCGTTGCTGACGACAGCCTTCCGGGCTCGTAAAGTTCCGCCGTTCCGGAGCTGGACCCCGACCGCTTTCCCGTTTTCCACCAGAACAGTCTGAAAAGAAGGGGGAGTGAGTGACGGGAAGAGGCGGTTCGAGTGATTAACTCAGAGGGTCGCAAGGCGATTTGGAATTGAAAGAAGCACCTCATTTCCGTCGTTCCGGAGCTCCGTTCCGACCGCTATTCCGGCCTTCACCAGGCTGCTCCAAACATGAAGGAGACTTGGATCAACAGCGCTGAATTCGGATTAAGTGCTACATATCGATCCGCAGTTTGAATCCTAACCGCCTTCTGATTTACGCCGGACTCCTCTGGAAATCAGGTTGGAGCAGGTGGGCTGGAGCAGGTTGGGAGGCGGATTGAGAAGCGGTTAAGCGGCAAGTAGGGGGTAATGAAGGGGAGCGTGCAATGTCAAAACCAAATGCCATTTCATCGTCTACCGGAAGATTTCAGATCTATAAAGCTTGAAAGTTGGCTTCAGGGCCGGACTAGGCGGGGGTTTACGAAAGCTGGTACGAGGAGCTGGCTGTTCGAAGCAGACATTGCTGGTTTTAAGAGTGGATTTGTACGCGGTGAGGAAAGTCCAGAAGTTTCATTCTACGGAGTTGGAACCCCAGTCGCAGAGGAGTCAATGGTCCAAGACAGCAGAGTTGACATACGCTTCTCCAGAATAGAATGACGATATCTCAGAAGAGTTGACGTATCAGTCCCGTTGAGAACCTCGCAACAGTCTCCTTGATTGCGAGGCGTCTTTCGCGTGCGCACAGTCAGGCCATCTCGCACAAATTGCGGATTCAGTGGACAAACTGGTGCGTTGAAGGTTTCTTTTCGAACGAACGTGAATAGCCGGCCGTCTTCCGCGTGTGCTAGTCAGGCTGTCTTGCACCAAACCCAGATTCAGTGGACCAAAAATGGTGCGGTTATAAGGTTTCTTTCGGCGAACCTGGTAAGCCAGCCTCCTTACCTCGACGTGCGAGTTGAGGGACAGCTTCCCCCCGTGCTTCTCTATACCCCGCACCAAAGCGTCGATGAGCGCCCCGACTCCTCCTACCGGGTACTCGAGCATACACCCGGGCTTGTACCACTCCCCAAACATGTACACCTGTGCCCGCAAATCAGCAACTTCAGCAGAGCTTGGAAAAGTCGGGCCGTACATTCTCGAACTGGGGCGATAATAATTGGACCCCGCCCTTCAGAACACGAGTCTTTTTGCATTGTTTCCTTTTCAGCTGTTTGCCTGGAAGGGCGAGAAGTATATCAGATTGTATAGACTGCTTCGCTGCTCGATACCAGCTCGAACCCACCCCGAGACCTTTCTTTTGGCTGCTCAGCAACTGGCGGGTAAAAAGCGAACAATGGCCCGGCCGGTTTGCCAGTAGCTTTCAACACTGCACCGAAGGAGACTCCAACAACAAATTTCAATCGGAAACATTTATCTCAAAGACAGATGCGAAACGCATCACGCAGACACGCCGACGAGACCGTCTATCAAGCCACGGATCATATCCAAAGCCCTCACCATTTCAGCTGCGATCGTCCCATCCGCAGGCACTCCCGAGAGAAGAAACGCCAGCAGATTGCACCAGTTACGGAGGAAGGGCGTCTTGATTTGTGCGTCGTCCAACAGCTGGGTGAATGGCCCCATCAGCTTGCCGGCGCCCAGCGCTGCGGCGGGGCCCCCTTGAGCAAACGTCTGGAACAGAGCCGGGGCGAATCTGGTCAAGGGACAACCAGCATGATTTATGTGCACTTCAGGAGGGTAAATGTACCAAACAAGGTTAGAGACGAGGAGACGGAGGGGAGATTGAGAGAACTTACAGACACCACGGAATCCGCGAAAGTGTGGTACAGAGCCGGCGAGAATCTAGTCAACGGAGTGACTGATTGATTGTGTGTGCGTTTGAAAGGCCTAAAGAAGTTAAAACGGGTTTGCCGGGGGGCCACAAGATTCAGAGGAGGAGGAAGTCGAATTGAGTCGAACATACAAATACATCCAAAAGAATTTGAGCCGTGCCATTAACCAGCCTGGTTTGCAGTTGGCTTTGTAGACGCTGATGAGCTAGAAATGTCAGGTCAGCAGGTCAGACGCAAGTAAGCAAGACGATTGAACGGTGTGAAAGTTGACCGTAGCGACTAAGTTAGAGTCGGAACGAATTTGATCACGGGGGTGGACAACCTGGTTCTTCTTTTATCTAAACGCAGGTCGCTTAAGAGGAGCAGCGGCGACTACTGTTCCTAACCACTTACGAACACACTACTCAGAACAAGGAATGTCGGGCCTTCCCGCTGACAATCGACACACAAGGTTAAAGACCTTCAGAGTATTTCTCTTTCGACGACTGCATCTCTTGGAAGTTTTGCACAATACACTCAGCAACTTGTACCCGAGCACGAGCGAATCAACCAAGTTCATAACTTGGTGAATAGAAGAGCTGGGAGAACAAGCTTGATTACGCTCATCGATCGATCTTGAACCTCACATGTTAAGGCAACAATCTTTCACAGGCCATAGCGACTTCCTTTGGACATCTCTGAACACAAAAGCGATTGCCAAACTCGTACCTCAACACTGTGAGCGCGACGGCCGGGTCTGCCCTCAGCGCAGCAGGGGGCAGAGCCATAGCTGCCCCTGAGAGCGGCTTTATACTTTCGAGCAACCGCGACCATTCTTCCACCGCTTCCGGTCCGCACAGCTTCATCAAAACGTCCTTGAAATCGTCTGGCCCTATTTTGCTGAGGACGTCTCCCTCCGGCAGGTAGCACATCCAAGCGTCATATTGGATGCAGGGAACGGACTCACCCAGTGCGTCGAGCACCTGGGGCAAAAGTGTTGTTTGTCTCCGGTCCCATCAGATGTAAGAAAAGCCAAAACAGAGCAGATCTCATCGCTTGCAGTTCAATAAACTGATGGGTGCGAAAACAGATGCACTGTATTGTACGACAAACAATCAAATTTTGGACGATCCTATCAGGAAGGGGTAACCCTCTGAGCATCTCACCGAGCAGAACGGACGTGGGGTAAGGCGCAGGAAATCAACAGAACTTTGAAAAGCTCTAATCAACGTTCCAAAGTCATGCGACGTTCAAATAAGTGTCCACGGAGCCGAAGATTGGTCCTAATCTGGATTTTGGGGATGGTGATAGCCAATGACGAGTCGGAGTTTCTGAGGATATTGGATGTGCTCTGATCTACTGAGACTGTATGGGAATCGCGGTGTAAATCACACTATCAACACAGCAGTCTTCTGTTTGGCACCTTTCAAGTGCGGCGGTTTTCCCTTGAAAGACAAGCAACTATGGCCAGAAAGTCTTGTGCAATTGGGGAAGCTCACATAGTTTTCCATTCATGTGGACAGATCAATAGCGATGTTTGCAGAAGATGAAAGTTCTTTGCTAGGATATTCAGAAGGTGCCTTTCTGTGGACTTCTGAAAGACTTTCAGATAGAAGGCGGACGTCAGAACCGTTCTTGTGCCCTTTCTTTTTAGAGAAGTTTTTCGAGTGGGGGGGTCTTTTTCGAAAAATAGGTACCCTATCTTCTAGTAAAGACGATTAAAAGTACAAGAGACTTACTTAAGTGCCCCAGCCATGAGCTTGGCGTTTGCAGGGCAAGAGCTGGGCTCAGTTATCAGGGGGGGGGGCTTACCTGTGCAAGAGGGTTTGCCTGAGCTCCTTTGCTGGACAGCCCTGAGAAAAGGGACGGGCCGGAGTCGAACTCATAACCTTTGATCTCAAAACCGTGTGCGGCGCCGCCAGCGATGTCATGAGACTCGCAAACCACCACATCCTGTAAGAGCGATGCGATCAGCAACAAGGACTTTCAAAGATCTATAAATCCTAGAATGTTTGAACTGCACTTGGTTTCAGACCGTTTGCAAATGAAGACACTGATCACTAAAAATACTCTACAAAAGATTCAGTGATTTTCAAGGCACGCGGCCATGTGTGCTACCGTTGTAGTCTCCAAACCCCGGACGCGGTAGCATCGTGCAGGGGAGGGGGGGGCATGGCGATGACGCGACAAGCATTTCCAAAGTCTCGCTTGGTATGCTCTTGTGTTGCCATCTTATGGCACTTGTCTTGCTTTCCTTTCTGTGAGCCGTGCGCTTCTTCTGGTCACTTTCTTATCGACGGCACAGATTGTCCCGATTGCCGCAAGAGCGTATCAGCGGCCATGTGTGCGTACCGTGTCAATAGCTTGACAACTAATCAATGTACCTCCGACTTCCTTGTCAACGGCAGACTTTCTTTGTAACTGCAAAAGGGGCTATCAGCATCACGTGCATAATGCCAAGAGTTATCAACAAGTTGAAAACCGCTTCAACGTACCTCCCCATATCTTGCAAGCAGCCCCGCACAACTGAGCCCGCCGATGCCTGAGCCTACCACCACAACATCGCATGTCCTAGTCTCCCCTGGACCAACCAAAGGCTTCCTGTCTCCTTTTCCTGCTTTGCTGCCTTTCTCGCGCACTGACTGCTCTGCAAGGGCTGCTTGAGGTAACACCAATTGTGAAGCTCTGACAGAGAAAGACCGTTTTGAGGAATGAGTTAGAGACTCGGAAAGAGGAGCGATCTGCCATCTGCTAGAAAGATCTCTACATGGTTGACTTTGCAATGTACGTCTGGTATGTGCAGGGATACAAGCCCTGCCTTTTGATGCACATTCGCTTCGCTTCAAAGTCACTCCATGACCTGAAAGTCTCCTCAAGTCCGAGTTATGCTTCTGACCACGTGATGCAACTGCGACTGTGTCTGCAAGGGGGGAGACAGGCAGCTTGCTGGCAGCAATTGCTACTGAGGGCGCCATTGGCATCGCCTTCCACTTGCTCGAAAGGGCGATGCCGAGCTGGGGACTCGCTGGAACCGTCCAAGATCCAATTCTGGTGCAGGAGAGACTCGAACCCCAGGGCCAACGCCACGGTTCCGAACATCGTTGGACTAATTGCCTCGTTTTAAGGCTAATTTTCTGATTAGACTACAATATACATGCTTTAAGTTTGGGTTAGGTCGAGTCTGGTAAAAATGGTCTACGGTATCTGACACCACGCCTGACATAAGTACGTATGCCCATGGTGTTAACCCGTGCTTGACCTCAGGCCCCGACTTTCCAACCTTGGACAGTCTCAAGCTGACATCTTAACCGTCCATGTATTTAAGGTTCTTATCTGACGGCCACTGAGACATCTTGTGCTTGAGATTTTTGTCCCTGGGGGTCCCCTGTAAAGTTTATGGCCGGGGCCAATGTGCGCGCGGCATTGCGCACATGGCCATTGGCTGGTATGGTGCCAACTGTCGCCAGTTGGCAGCACAGGGGCAGATGACGGTTTTCTAGGTACGCTAGAAATCTAGATCCCAGCTGAGAGCAAGCCTACAAGTTCAGGCATTTCCTGAGGAGAAGCAGCACCTTTTCTTCTTGCCGCCACTGGCGCGTTTTCTGCAGCCTGAATCCAGCTTGTGGATGGGCCAAGGAGGTCCATCTTTTGTACCAAAGTGCCCGTGGCCGTCGTCTCAATCAACAGCCTCTTGGGTTAGTGTAAGTTCCTCCAGTCCTGCGCCAAGCATAATATCTGCGCTTGCTTTTTGCAAGAGGACAGCCGCTAAAATCCCGTAAGTTTTCGAGATCTTGCATTTTAAGGTGGGCCCCCGCAGGTTTTTCAACATGTTGTCGTCGGACGACAGCGACTTCCGGTTTAGCACCGGGTTGCAGAACCATGATGAGAAGAAGTCCCTTATCAAGGAGCACTCGCTGGCGCTCAGCGATAGCAAGCTTCCACGCCCTTCAAACCTCCCCCCGTTCTCTCTTGATGGCCCTGACAAGAACGTTGGCAAGAGCCCGAGAAAGATCATCACAAAGAGCCCCAGCAGGGCTCGGATGATGCCGGGGATGAGCAGAATTCCGAGCAGCAACAGTCCAAAGGGGTGGAGCTTTGACGATTTCGAACATGAGTACAATGCGCAGCAGCACTCCCCCGATCTCCGGCCACTGTCGACCCCTAGAACGCCAGCCCTCTCCCCTAGAAGCTCCTTTAGCAATCTGCCGCTGATGTCCGGAATGCAGCACCCCATGGTCCAAGAAGCGGAGGACCTCTTGCACAAGTCACTGATATACTTCAGGGGCAAGCCAATTGGGACGATCGCGGCCATCCAGGACGGGACTGAAGAGGCTCTCAATTACAATCAGGTAGTAATGCTGACCCTCTTGTAAAGTGGATGCCATCTGATGTCCCGAGTGAAATAGAGTGATTCTGCGGGCTTTAGCCGTGGTCTGGCTTTGATAGCTCAATTGGTGCTTTTAACTCAATGTGACAACACCGCAGCTGACTGTGAGTTGCATAGATTCTCCCTGGTTTCTGTGAGCATTTGGTGAACCCTAGCTTTCCCCTTTGGCGGATGCTGGCCACATTCCCTAGAAATGCAGAGTACAGATGCAATCAGATTTTTTTTTTTCCAGAATCAAACATTTACACCATTCTGAAAAAGAAGGTCTTCTGCTGGCAACCTATGTAGCTTGTAGCTTGTGCTTGGCATAAACTGCTGGATCGAAGGTTGGATTTCATCATCAAGGTCCATAATCCGTCTCAGATCTTTGATCTATCTTAAGACCTGTAATTGGACCAAGCTGAAAATAGTAGAGCTGGTGGTGCAGGTTTTCGTGCGGGACTTCGTGCCTTCAGCACTAGCGTTTTTGGTGAGTTGAAGCGCCATGGTGCCTCCTGTGTGATTGAATGTTGCCTCATGCTCTCATGTGACCAGTATCAACCAGAAATTGTTCAGGCAATGCAAAAGGGGACCTTTTGCGTTGCACACGGTAGCATGATGGTGGACTTAGGAGGAACATGATCTGCTAGTCTTTGGAGTCCTTACTTTGCCGCTTGCATCAGTGCAGAACATAGTGGATGTGACGAGATGGAAAAACCAAATAGGAAGCAAAACCAGCACAATCCCAATATAGCGGCAAGGAACGACTCACTCACCGCTCAGCATGTCTCTGCTGCGTAAGATGAGGCCCGTCCAGTATGAAGAGTCTCTCCAAGGTGTTGGCAGTGCGATAAGTTTCCAGAGGCTCAATGTTTTCTTCTGAGTGCTGTGCTTGTCGCTTCTTGACCAGATGAAAGGCGAGCCTGAGATTGTCCGGAACTTCTTGATGAAGACGCTGCGGCTGCAAGCATGGGAGAAGAGGATAGACTGCTTTACTCTCGGGGAGGGGGTCATGCCGGCCAGCTTCAAAGTGCTCCACGACCCTGTCCGGAACACTGACACAATGATTGCTGACTTTGGGGAAAGTGCGATCGGACGAGTAGCCCCAGGTGAGCGTTGGTTTGACACGAGGCGCTAAATTTATTTCTTGTAAGTTTCGTTATAGCCACTGGACTGGTCTATGCCTGGTCCAGAATTAGTCAACAGGAGTGGACAGAACCAGGTAGAAGCTATGTATAAGAGCAAGCGGTCATGCTATTTTGTCTGTGCACCGTCAGAAGTACTGGTGCAGAATGTTGGCACCTTGAAAGCAGTGGTGTCAACAAATCAGCCGAGCTCCATCCAGTATACCAGCTTCAAAGAGCTGCAACAGCGGAGGGCCCTGCTAGGCTTCAAAACCTTCAGCGCATTCACGGTTCTTTGTGGTCTTCCATCCTCCAGTGGATTCCGGGTTCTGGTGGATCATTCTGCTGCGAGCATACGGACGAGCGACGGGGGATCACACGCTTGCAGACCATCCAGACATCCAGCGGGGGATTATCCTCATTCTCCAGCTGTGTCTGGCGGACGGGTTTGACACGTTCCCGACGTTGCTGTGTGCGGACGGCTGCTGTATGATTGACCGGCGGATGGGGATTTACGGGTATCCGATCGAGATCCAGGCGCTGTTCTACCATGCATTGAGGTGAGGCGAAAGGATGACGACGTGGCGATCAGCACCATGTTTTGGGGGTTTCATGCCGAAGCGCCAGTCTATGGGCTTTTTAACGTTCTCTCGTTTGACCGAAGTGAGATGCAGTGCCGAGAGGGGATATGCTAGCATAACGCCAGGAACGCTGGTACTTTGTGCTCCTAGACATGAACCTTCTGAGGCCATGTGCTTTTCTGCATCGAAGAACTCAAACTGACGTTGTATTCTGAGCACAGCCACTTGATACATGGAGAACACTGTCCAGTTCAGGTATCCTAACCTGAGGCTCCAAATCAGGAATAAAGACTATGATAATTTCCGATTGAGGGGGTGCACGGGGGAAATCCAACTGGCTTCCTGGGATCCTTTAGGCAGCGAGATAAGGCAGGGATCTCCGTTGGGTCCAATTTCGAATGCGTTGGAGCAACTAGGCTTCCGATAGCGGGCCAACGTATTGCATCGATTGTTTGGAAGCCCCATCGCTGCGAAAGTCAGTTAGTCCAAAGACTTCCCTACTAGTGCCGGTGTGCAAAGGCAAGGGCTAGAGCCGTGAGGAGGAGGGCAAGAACGTCTTGAAGCGGGGAGATCAGCGGCGGTAGGTAGTAGTAGACTGCTCAAGGGCTCGGCTCTTCCCACAAGGTTTTGGAGCAAGTTTCGTTTCCACGCACATACACTTAGATCCGTCTGCACGAAGCCAGGTCAAGCCTGCGAACTAGAAGGTGCGCTTGATTTCTTTAGAAGGGGTTTCCGTCACGAGTGCAGCACACGGAGCAGATGCGACAGTGACGGAAAAGGGTAAATCTTCGCAAACCGCAGCCTAGATTCATCGTTTCTTGAGCTGGGAAGAACGACTTCTTTTGCTGGTGCAGGTGCGCCAAGCAGATGCTGAAGCCGGAGGGGGAGGGCAAGGACTTTCTGGAGCGGGTAGACAAGCGGCTGTACGCGCTGACGTTCCACATGCGCAACTACTTCTGGCTGGACCACTCCAGCCTGAACAACATCTACAGGTACAAGACGGAGGAGTACTCTGAGGTGAGCGGCAGCCAGCGATATGAAATCTCTGTTCCCGCATACTTGCGGCGAATCATGCATCCATACGTTTGCTTCTTGACGTCATCGTGAGGGCATCGCTATCGATTCCTTCCAGTCGGCTAACCGACCAAGTCTCTGTGCGGAATACTGGTGTGAACGACATTATCAGGGGTCAAAAGGGGCTTTTGGACTCGAAACGCGCCGCATCTGTGAGGAAAGCGGAGTCGAACGAAACTGCGATACAGAACACTTCTGAAAGAAAGCGCTTCCTGGGATTCTCATGTGCAGTCCGTTCGAGCCTAAATTCTGCTCGGCGTTTATAAAAGGTACAACAAGCACGGACAACGGCCGATTCTGATTTCATACCGTCCGCTCTGAGCACTTGTTCCTCTGCCGCCTGTTGTCAACAGATCTATTGTTCATTCATCCATAACCGTCGATGGCGTATACGCCTGCCCAGAAACTTTGCATCATTATCGTAGTCATGCCGTCGCTTCCTGCAAGTGCCGGAAACCCCAGCATGGGGTCGAGAAATAGGATTTGAGACAACTTTGAGCTTCGGAATCCCCTTCGGGCTGATCCTAGTTTCGCTTCGAGATTTTTCTTGCACCTTCTTCTCGATCAGGTCCTCGACATTAAACTCTACTTTGATACTGGTCCCTTCAAGCGCGGAGCGTGCACCAGCCGTCCCCGCTCATGATGTCTAAGCCCGGAAGCTGCTCTTGACTAACCTGATTCTCGTTTGCTGACGTCACAGACCGCGGTGAACAAGTTCAACGTCATCCCCGACTCCATCCCCGACTGGGTCATGGACTTCATGCCGCGCAAGGGCGGTTACTTCATTGGGAACGTGTCCCCCGCGCGCATGGACTTCCGGTGGTTCGCCATCGGCAACTGCATGGCCATTATCTCGTCGCTCGCCACCACGGAGCAGGCCAACATGATCATGGATCTGATCGAGGCGCGCTGGGACGAGTTAGTCGGGGAGATGCCCATGAAGGTGAGTTCTAATGTATCTTAGCACACAAGTTTCAGCAGCTGCTTTTAAACAGAGAGCCCCGATCCGGAGCATACATATCACCATGGACCTCCTCGAGGCGCGCTGGGATGAGCTCGTCACAGATATGTTCACGAAGGTTCAAGACAACACTTAGCGTCCTTTCTCTTTTCATGTCGCACTTCCGTTCGTCCTCGCTTTTTTCTCCCGTCTAGTTGCTTAAGCTGGGTCCTTCACTAGTAAGTTCAACATGCGTGAGAGTCAACACATAGAGCTGCAGCTTTCTAAAACGAGAGAGCCTAGATTACACATAGCCCACCATTTTATGATGGACGTTTATGGACGTCAGCGGGGCACGCCGAGATAACTTGGTCGGGGAGATGCACATGAAGGTGGGTCTTAGAGAAACTTTGGACCTTAAGCACACAAAACTCCCGCGACTTACAATGAGAAAACCCAGATTTGGACAGCATAGACATAAGTGTATATTTCACTGAGCCGTGCTGAGATGAGCTGGTCGGAGAGATGCCCATGAAGGTGGGTTTCAAAAGCACACAACAATGTAGCCGCTGAAAACCTGGAAACGTAAAATTTGGACAAGATAGACCCTAAATCTATGATCCGCTGATGCGCGCTGGTGAGGCGGATGGTGGTGAGATTGCACTGTTTCGAGTTTCAAGCAGTAAATCCTCGCCCCACAAAAAGAGTTTTGAAATTCCCTGACCTTACCAAACAGCTGATCACGGCCCGGGGTATTCAAGGTTCGTCAGGACGGGGTTACGGTTAGTTGGAGCAAACCCGGCTGTCAAGGAACTTATATGCCGTCCAATCTTGGCTTGCAGTCACGAATGGCAGCGCTATGATTTCGATCCCTGCAACTTGGTCCTTCCGTGGTTCGCTTGTATTGCGCGGTAAAAGGACACCAGTGGCTGCTCATCACGGGCTGTGGCCCTGCCACACGAGACCCTCTCGCGACTCTGTGTGGCGACTGAAAAGAAGAGGTGTAGATAAGGTCGCTCTGCCACGCCTCAAAGAGAACGAAACCACTTTTTTGTGGTCAAGAGACCCCCCGCTAGAAGGCTTAGCACTGGCTGCGACCCTGAAACCCTCGTGACTCGGTTCCGGCGACTCAAAAGCGGTGATTGCAACACTAGTGTTGCCTCGAGATTGTCGAGTCGCTGCGCCCCACTCAATCCGCAATGATAAGCAGTTTTTGAAGCGGCGTGCTTCGTGCTAGAAGGGCTAGGGGGGCGCCTCAGCATGCGACTCAGAAGTAGCGGGTTCAGCAACAATCTCGCATCGAGTCGAAGAGAAAGGACCGTTTCTTTTTCTTCCAGGCGACGTACCCCGCGGTAGAAGGGCACGAGTGGCGGCTCATGCCGAGTGCGACCCTAGACCCCTCGTAACCGGATCCGGCGACTCAAAGAACAATGAGCCAAAGATTCTATCACCGTGAACGCGTCGGAACGCCATGCGCACTCGACACTCACGGCTCTCACAAACAACGAGTGATATCTACGTATCTAACGAGAAACAATCAACAGAAAGAGTTGCTTTTCTTTCAGGCGACGTACCCGGCGCTAGAAGGGCACGAGTGGCGGCTCATCACGGGGTGCGACCCGAAGAACACGCGGTGGTCGTACCACAACGGCGGCTCGTGGCCGGTCATCTCCTGGATGCTGACGGCGGCGGCGATCAAGGTGGGGCGGCCGCACGTGGCCAAGAAAGCGGTGGATCTGCTCGAGGAGGTGCTCGGGAAGGACGGCTGGCCCGAGTACTACGACGGAAAGGTAGGGCCGTCGTCCCTCGGAACTTCGGATAAATCCAAAAATAGCAGAGTAAAACTAAAGGTTACTGCACTGGAACGGGTAGGGTTGGGATAGGGTGGAGGTTAGGGTGGGTAAGAGTGCGGAGCTTTCTAGGTCAGGGCTTTCCGTCATTTAGCCGAAGCTTGTTATTGTCTCGGAGTTCTGGTTCTCAAGGACCGGAACTTTGATCTTTGAGTTCCATGAATTCTGGTTCTGCTTGATGCGGAAGGTCATGAGAGGGCTCGACCTGTTTAGGAAGCTCCACACTTGTGGAGGACGCATTGGGCGGACGCGGTTTCCAAGCGTCTAGAAGGTGTTCGTCTCGAACGCCCTCTCGAGCCTGGATGTTGGGTTTGAACGCACCTTCGTTGGCATTGACACTCATTCAGAGCCTCCTCTTGGAACTCCACACTTCGGGAAGCGGGAATGTTTCTAAACTCGTTATTGCATCTTTCGTGGAACCGACTTCGGCTGAGAGTGGTCGCCAGGTCTCCAACTCGTGCCTTAACTCTGCTGCCACTCATTTTGGCTTCTGTGCTGCCAACAATCTGGTTTAGGAGCTGCCAACAAGGGGTTGGCAGATGCTCCTGCAAAGCGCCGATCATGAGGTTCTGGGTCTCTTTTGTACTTTGACGCGTCAAATGGTTGCCGATGAGTCCGGAGCAACTGTTGGCTACGCCGTTTTGGATCCGTTGAGAACGTTAAGTCGACGCCAGCGAAGTTTCTCTAAGGAAGGGCCTCGTTCCGCCACGCTCAGTGCAGATTTCTCCCTTCTGCGCTGTTCTACCCAAGGAAACTGCGTCTCTCTTTGCTTCACGGGGCTTGTTGAAGAACGTCCCAGAATCGCGATTCCGTTGCAAAGGAATTGTATCGAAGCATCTCTGTTGAGGACGCCGGAGATTGGATGATTTTCTAGAAGCGGTTTTTCATTTGCCAAAAGCGTATGCGGCAGGGTTGGTTTTACCTTTCCCTTCTTCCGTGGAATTTTGAATGGTGTCGAGCCGTTGCCTTGATTCTCACTTTTAGAAAGGCGCCCGTGCAACTGTGATCAAAAAACTTACTTTGCTAGTGCGAGCACCTCCGGGTAAGGGTTGCCCATTTGGAAGTCCTTTTCCTTCGTGAAAACCCTCTTTGCCCGACGGGTCAGTCCATTCAAACCGGAAAAAAATCTCTTCTGAACCGCGCGCCATTCTTCCCTTTGACGCAGTCGGGCCAGTTCATCGGCAAGCAAGCCCGCAAGAACCAGACATGGTCCGTGACCGGATACTTGGTGGCCAAAATGCTCCTGGAGGACCCCAGCCATTTGGGCCTCATCAGCCTAGAAGAGGACAAGAAGGCGGCGAAGCCTCAACTCACGCGCTCAGTCTCCTGGAACGGGTTTATGAATCTTTGAGACTAAATGTGCGGCGAGGATCTGTGTACGCCTTGTTGACCTACTGCCACATGCACCGCACCAGAACTGTAGGGTTAGTATCGAGAGAGTTGAGATATTCAAACGTGCATTACTTCTGAACTTCAATAAGCTCCAACAGGAGGTCTCAATAATCAGGGTGATGCTTAACCCAGGTCAAGCGCGAGAGGAAGCGTTGGAAGTAGGTACTCGCGCGCTGGACTTGCTTCACAGTGCTGGGTCGTTCTCAGCTAGGTCGGCTGTTTGTGCATTAACCGCTCAAAGGTCGAGTGTCAATGTTACCTTCTCAAACTG